TTTAGGAAAGAATATTAGCTATTTGTGCATCGTAAAGTAGTTTTCTTGAAGTTATTGTCACGTTTATGTCTTTATACCCTGACGATTGTAAGGATAACCTGTGGTCGTTTGGTAGTGTAAAGTCATTCGGACTATTGATTCTTATTTAGTATGAATTACAGTTTTTATATCCGATTGCCTCCGTGTCAGACGTTAGCATTGCTTACGCAATATTTTATGTACCGCGCTATTCACTACCCCTTTTATTTGTTTGTTTGCATTGTTGTATGTTACAGATTGCCACAAAGCGTCCTTCTTGAGCTCAACAAGGCCGTTGCGACATGTAGTTCTAGAGGTATTTTCAGCGCATTTTTCAAGAATTAAAAAAGATGCTATTGTTTGTGTTTTGTCCGTCCGTCCGTCCATCCGGACCCACTTCTGCCGTTTCGTACTACTTCTAGGGGAATGGTCTTAGAGTCCTGAAATTTTTTGCAGTAGGTAGCGTATACCTTGAAGGCGTGCCAGTCGGCCATGAAATATCGCTGTCTAAAAGCCCCTCCCCCCCCCCCCCCCACGAATTATATCCTGAGATGCTGTTTTTTGAAAATAAAACGTGTATAACTTTTACATACGACAACCAACAGCTGGTCTCAGATTTTGCATACGCATGCCTTTAGTAATGCCAAGTTAAACTTTAGAAAATGGGGGGGTTAACACATGTTCCACCCCTCATGGTATTCTAATGACAGGTCTCCTCGAAATAAATTGGTTTTTACAAACTATAACTTTCCCATGCGACACTTTTCCGAGATCAGTGAGCGACAGGGCCCGAGAGGGGGGGGGGAGGGGGAATTAATGTTATCTCTCATTGTATTCTAATTAAAGGTCTCAACGAAAGGAACCGTTTTCCAACTACTAACCTTTTTTCGGTTCTTTTATCAAAGTACGTGTGGGGGAGGGGAAGAGGGCGAGTGGAACTAGTTCCATGGTACTCTAACGAAAGGTCTCAACGAAAGGAATTGATTTCTACCAACCATAGCCCTCCTCGACCTCTTATCGTGATCGGGTATATTTCCTTATACCCCATGAACGGATAGTCGGAACAGGGTACTCACAAAGGGCGATTGAGACGTCTGCAAGAAATATATCCATTGGTGACGTCAAAACAACAGCTATTTCGGTAAAAAAAACTGCGTTTTATCTGCACAAGAGCTGTGCAAAACAGGACAGAACCAAAAAATTATCCAGGACTTGATGCTTGGTCTGAAGGTGAAGGAAACAAAGTTAAAGTTCAAAGGATCAAAGCGCGTTGCTTAAGGCTCAAGATTTAAGGTTCAATTCGCGAAACCCAAATATCAAAGCAACAAGTTCGAGATCGAGAGGCCCAAATCCCAAAACCTATGTCTCAAGACTCCAATACCGAGCCTAAAAACAAAAACCCATTAATGCTCAGTACTAAACGCATAAGACTCGATAAACAAAACCCAAAACGCTAATCCTATGACACAATTCTTAAAACCCAAACCCAAACAAGAAACCAGACCTGAACCATAAAGCTTAAGGATGGGAATTGAAAGCAAAAGAGGCGAGGGGTCGGTACCAAAGAATCGGAATTCACTACTCAAGGCTCAAAGCCAGAGAATAGAGCTTGGACGCTTGCACCTGAAAATTCGCACCTTAGAATTGAAACTTCCACTCAATATTTGAGTACAAAAACTCGCGAAAATCCGTAACTCGTGCTCAAAATATGCTTTAGAAGCTTGAAAATGAAATTAGAAACACGAATCCAAGACACGACTCAAAGCTCAAAAAGCTCAAAACCAGCAACCTACTCTCAAATCAAACAAACATTAATACTTTAAAACACTCCAAATCCAAAACTTTGACCTCAAAACCCGAAAATCAACCCTAAAGTCACGAGCTTCATATGTGAGCTTTGGATGTTGGGGTATTGAGTTCCAGTTTTAAGATCTGGAGGGAAGATCCGGAGAATGAAAGCCAGGATTCAGATTTCGGGAAAGGAACTCTACATATTAGAAGCACGGCATAGTAATGATAATTATGAGGTCAGGAAAGTGACGGAACCTAAAAACATAAACACGAAAAAAGAAAAAAAAAAGTAAGAAAATAGGAACAAGAGTCTCCAAGATACAGAAGAAAGACCGAACCGGAACAATAATCTACATACCATAAGTCCAAGAATCAAGAGTGAGGAGCAGAGAACCGAAGACCAGAAAAAAGAAATCACAATCAGAAGTCCGGAGATCAGAAATCAGTGATAAAGATGTAAAACAAAAATCAGGGATCAATAGTCAAAGATTAGGAGACCAGACCAGATACCAACCAACAGAAAAGTGGGGATGAGAGGACTTGGAAAAATTACGAAAAAGGTTCTACAAGTGGGAAGTGGGTCTCAGGCGAACCACACAGGAGAACAAAAATGAAGGGAATCGGAATAGGGAGCGGTGGAGCGAGAAAGCGAACTGCTAAAGCAACGCACGCGACAAAAAACGGAGCCGAGTATGGAAGAACTAACAAGAAGAGACAATTCAATTGCAACAACCTCGAAATCAGGAGAGACATTTACACTGAACTGCCGCAAAATTATGAGGTTCAGATTTGGAAATGAGGAAGGGCGATAAGCAGAAGAAGAAGGGAGGTAAAATAATACAGATCATCTGCGAATGTATGGAGGTGGAAACAATGAAGAAAAGCACGAAAAAAAATTAGACGAAAATGAATGGAGAGATAAAAAAGACAAAGACAAATCAAGTTGCGCCTCTTTATATTTCTCACTCGACGTAGAGCGTTTAAATTTAGTATTCTCGCTCTATCTAGGTATTTCTTTTGTAAACCCGTTTAGTTTAGATGTCAGTTATTTCTATAGTAGATTTGCTATTTCCTTAGTTCTTTGGTTCGCCCCTAGAGGTCGTGATCTTTTTTCTTTTCTGCATACACATTCCCTGTACTTCTTTCCTTCAGAGACGATCTGGCCATCATATTTGTTGCGTGCAAGTTTTTCTCGATACGCCGTTACTTTTTACTCGACTTAGTGTCTACCTTTTTTGGTTATCAGTATATCTCTTTGGAGTATTTTCTTTCTATTTATGATGTGCTGTGCCTGTGCTCCATTGAATACGCTTTGCATATTTGTGTTTGCAAGGAATTAGTGGGAGGTATGGATTTCAGCATTTTTCTTAATAGGTACGTATTTTTTAGGGTTTATCTTCCCTCAAAGTTCCCTTAAACTTCTCTCTTAACTTCTTATACTTTACTCTTTTGGATTACTTTTCCGTTATTCTACCTAAAATTACCTACGCAGAACGTGGATAACATCGCAATTTTACCTGGACAAGCCATCTTAGCGAGATTGACATTGGCGACGTTACGTGAGACATCACATTACCTACTTCGAAAATGTACAGCTGGAGATGTACCTAATCGTTCATGTCTAACTGCAAGTATTTACGAAACCTTTTGGAGAATATTAGCTTTGTGAATCGTTTCGATATTCTGATCCTACGTAATTTTCTTTTGTCGTTACCGATTACGATTCTTAATTACGTTATTTGTATCACTCCGAAGAATTTGTTCATACTATCTTATTCACATTTTGAATTAGGGCAAATTACATTGCTGTTTTATAGAAATTTAGTTATACACCGATTTGTACGGATGATCCGTGGTTGAGTCAAAATTTTGCTTTTGCTAGTGTAAAGTCATTATTATTAATTCAGATTGAGTATTAATTACGGTTATAGTCTAGGATTTACCTGATTAGTATCGGACGTTAAACATTCACTATCCCTCTTGTTTGTGTGGTGTTATCTGTTACAGATAAGGCAGAAAAGCGCCGTGACTTTAGGAGGAAGTTTGAAGACATTATTATTATATTACGGCTTATGGATAATCCGCGCGGCTCCACTATTTATTTATTTTTAGTCCGGATCCCTTTAATATAGAGTCACGAATTTTCATTGAGAGCTTGTCAATAGTGCATGTAATTAAATTATGGTGTTTGTAATTTTTTAATAACACTGGGAATAATTAATTTTAAGGTTGAAAGTCTTTGCAGATAAAACCACGATAGTAAATCCGTGTTTTTCTACCTTTACACCATCATATTTCTTTTTCTAAGAACGATATCGTTACAATTATTCCGGTGTCTTAAACTAGAATTATATGGGCTTCCAATTATAAGTATATAATAACTAATATAACATAACTAACATAACTAACCTGGTATTAGTGCAGCTGTATATCGCGCATTAATTATCCGCGCAGAGTAAAATTCATTACACGACTTACTTTTTTGATTTTTCTGGAAATGTATCACATATTTCGAATGAATTGTGGCCAAATGACACAAAAATGTTTTTCATTTTTCATGTTAATTAGCACCTAATCATGCAATATGTTTGATTGTAACTGCTGACCTTGCTCTGCTAAGTTAATGGACATAACTTCACGGGCCCCAAAGAAAGCTAACCGGTAGGGTCGGGGGACGATGGGGGACTAAAACGAGCAAAATGAGTCAGGAAAAAAACGAAAAATAGTCAAGAAGCAGAACGCAATAAACAAATATGAGAGTGAGATCCAAAAATCAGAAAAAGGCGGCGAAAATTTTAAATTGAAAAAACAACTTATTTATTATTTTGTCAGAAAGCGAGAGAAATATTGGTCAAAAGGGGATGAGGAGATCAGAAACCTACAATCAATTTATTTAAGTGGCGTATTTTCTTATTTCTCTCTAGTAGGTACTGATGTGGCAAGAAAGTAACTGCTTAATAACCTCGGTAAATATTGAATATTTCAAAATATGACTTAGATAGGCAGTGTCAACCAGTGAGGGTTATTTATTGACGCAATGTAAATGTAGGTACATTTCCCAACATTTTGCGTACTAAATCCCGTCCATAAATTTGCTTTAATGTTGTCACTTTCAAATTTGTACAAAATAGGCACGGTTATTTTTGGCATAAGCCTTTTTGCCGAATACCCGCAGTTGCGGTGGGAGCTTATCAACTTTAAATATTTGGACACGTACTTCATCAAGGGTGATGCGTGGTAATAAGAATGCTTGCTGGGATACATTTCATCTCATAAGTGAAGATGAATCTGCTCCGTGTGTTCGTCTATCTTCCACTAGCCTTCCTCGCTTCACAGGCCGTAAGTCTAAACTATGTGTAACAATTCACAGGTAAAGTTGTCATTTCAGGCAACACCCGAGGAAATTGCCAATGCGTGGCGAAAGCAAATCGCACCATTCGAAACTGTTTGTGCTTGCGAAAGTGGTTCGAGTGTCGAAAACATACAGTCAACATGGGCCAGCTTTACCTACCCCACCAATCCGTGCTTCAAGTGCTACTTTCCGTGCCTGTACAGAAAACTGGGATTGGTCCTGCCGGACGGTTCCATTAACAGAGACGTTATGATTAAAACAGTCTTGGGGGTGACAGGGACGATTTACGATACGTGTATGGCACCGGTTGTGAAGTGCCTGGATCCATGCTACAAGATTTGGGCATTCGACTACTGCGTTAGTTACGTTATGAATTATACCGCGGTAAAGCCCGCCATCACCGCCTGCACGTAACAGAACTATCAATTAATCTTGATTGACGCCATTTAACAGTTTTACAAAAAATAAAACTACAAGAACCAACCTTTATGTGTATCTTCCCTCTTTATAAAATCATCCTCATCCACTGTTCTCTATCTTCCAGTATTTTATTCCTGTTTTTCTTTATCTACTTCTATTCCCATAGCATGTGCTCGATCTCTTCCTCTTTCTTTCCACAAGGTCCCCATTTCCTTTCTTCCTCTTACCTCCACGTCTCCTTCCCCCTCCCCGCGTTTCCGCATCATAAACGTTGCTATTACTATTGCTTCAAGTTTATTCTATTTCTTCATTTTTCCCATACCTCCGTTCCGAAGATAAGCACCCCTCTGAAAGCTGCAAGATAAATGTATTTTCTTATTCTAAAATAGATTTTGGGTCTCCCCTCTCCTATTTCCTCGACACTTTTTTTATTCCCTTATGGTGATCATTTGCCCCATTATTTCGTTGTATCTGGTACCCTATACATTTGTCTTCCTTTCACCTTCCCCCATTCGATCATCTTCGATTTTCCGGCATTTAACTCCACCCTCTTTCTTTCCTATTAGTTCAATGTGTATTCCTTCCCGGATATTTTACTGACAGCCTTTTCCTCGACTGGTAGGATTACGCTGGAACCGCAGGGGGGCATTGTGGCCGAATGTGAGGACCATTGGGCATTGGGCCCCTCTTGTTAGGCTCCGGGATGGCGCATCTCTTACAGTTTAGAACCACGCCCTTAGGGTAGTCCAAGATCTAGACGAGGATCATGGAGGACCTTTTGTGGTAACATGGAGGGTTCTATTGAAATTCAATTCGAGAGATCCCTTTAAAAGACCCGGGACAGAGCAACACAGAGACCATGCCAACTTTGGCTATGGAGGCACTTCTGGGACCAGAGCATGTACACTTAGCTGTAGAGGCAGAGGCCCGCAAGGGCTCCATACGGCTAAACGATAGAGACTAGTGGAAGGATTGAGACAGTGTTGGGGATCTGGACATTCTCCCGCACAGGGATCTTTGGCTAAACTTCTAGAGTATTGGGTGTATCAAATTGAGATTTGGTACAAGTAAATGGTATGTGAAGAGGAAAGTTTTCGCACATTGTTCTTTTTTCGCTCACTTCCGATTTCACCGGAAATGGTTCAGGATTCGAATTTTTAAATGGAATAAATACCCTGTATATTTTTATATTTTTGGATTTCTGAAACAATTCTGAATCAGCATGTGACCTTTTTAAAACTATTTACGACTACCTAATTTTTTTAAACATTTCTTAATATTGCATTTAGGTGCCCATTATCGGACCCAAACTAATCTAAGGACCTTAGGTGATATCCAAAAATTACAGTCGCAAAGTTTTAGTGGCTAATATGAGAGTATTTGGCAAAAGAACCGAACGATGTCAAGTTTGACTCAGAAATCCAAATATGAAAAAATACACAGGGTGTTCCATTTGAAAATTCAAAACCTGGAGGTGGAACCTTTAGAGGCCCTGAACCGTCTGTAATTTCTGATACCCTTTAAAACCTTTGACGCTTATGAAACTGTCAGGAAACCATCAAAACCGCAAACACCTGACATTCTTGAACCGTTTAAAATTTTTGAGGCCCTTAAGCCCCTTGAAAACTTTTAAACACTTTCAACCCGACACCTTTGGCGTTGATTACCACGAAATACGTCATTAAAAGAGTAGGAACTCTTTAGTGCAACCAACATCTTGATCTACACATAAGGAAGACATCCCAACAGCTTCTAAGAGGTTCTGAAAGTCTATGAAAATCTACCAACAAAAAAATTTAGCATGAGAACTCATATCTAGGTCTTGATTAAACAGGCGAAACAAAATTTATTCGACAAAATAATGCAATCAAACTGAAAAAAAATAGTGACTCAGGGCCAAAGTGCAAATACCACGCAACAAGCGATCGATTGAAACAATTGATTAAAGAAAGCAGCTGATGTCACTTTACTTCGTTGATTTCAGTTAAATTTTTACAGATACAAAATTGCCTCTTTGATGGCGGAAAAACTCTCTTTTCTCTCTCTCTCTCTCGTTTCTGTGGTTCATGTTCCAAGTTCCAATTTGTGAGCTTCCGGTTTTGAGTGCCAAACCTCCGAGTTTCAACCTTTAATTTCAGGATCCGTTTTCTGACCGAAAATATAATTTGCGATTTACGACGTCTGATTTTTCGTCTCTGATTTCCGACTGATATCGGCAATTTACAGATTTTCAGATTGTAGATTAGAAGTTAGAAATCAGAAATAACCATATTAAGGAAAGTAGTTGATAAGCTTTATAACTGTTAAAGAGCAGTCTCTTAGGGCATCCAAGACCCTTAAGAGAGACCCGAAAAGCGTTTCAGAAGCTTTTAGGTTCCTTGAGATCCTCTCTCTAAGAACTGAGCTTTTAGTAGCAGCCTTAACCGACTCCACAATTCCAAAGTGCGTCTGGCATATTTCTGGTATCAATATTAAAGTTCAGTATAAGAACTCTTATGTTGGTCGTAATTCGGGCTCGATTAAACACACAATAGATCATCAACAGATGAAACAAGGTTTACTCAACAAAATAAAGCAATCAAACTGAAAGGGATCAAATACCGCGTAGTAAGCGATCGATTGAAACAAATTAATTAAAGACATCTGACGCATAAAACAACTGATGTCACTTTACTTGGTCGATTGCAGTGAAATTTTTACAGATACAAAATTGGCTCTTTGATGGTGGAAAAACTCCCTTTAACTTATACTGAAAGCTTAAAAAAAGGCTTCTTTAAGGCATTTGGCCTTGGAGATTCAGCGTTGGGTAGCCCTGAAATTCCGCATCACAGTGTTTGTGGTTTATGTACCAAGTTCCAGTTTTTGAGCTTCCGGTTTTGCGTGCCAAACCATGAGTTTCGAGGGGTGCAGGGCAGGTTCTGGAATTATGAAACCTGGTTTTTACTTCGAGTTTCGATATTTTTTTTTTTTTCCGAGTTTCAACCTTCAATTTCAGGATCCTTTTTCTGATCGCAAATTATAATTTCCGATTTACGATGTCTGATTTTTGGTCTCTCATTTCCGACTGGTCTCAGCAGATTTTCAGATCGTAGATTAGAAGTCAGAAATCAGAAACAACCATATTAAGGATCTTAGAAAGTAGTTAAGCTTTATAACTGTTAAAGAGCAAACAGTTTCTTAGGGCATTCAAGACCCCTAAGAGAGACCCCAAAAGCGTTTTTAACCGACTCCAGAATTCCAAAGAACGCCTGGCATATCTCAGGTATCAACAGTAAAGTTCAGCATAAGGACTCTTATGTAGGTCGTAATTCGGGCTCGATTAAACACACAACAGATCAAAAACAGATGAAGCAAGGTTTACTCGACAAAATCAAGCAATCAAACAAAGGGATCAGGGCCAAAGTACAAATACAGCGCAGTAAGCGATCGATTGAAACAATTTAAAGAAGTCTTAATTACCATGAAGTGTTAATAATCCAAAAACTCCGGTTGTAACTGTGATTTCGTTGATTGCACGTAAATTCTTAGATACAATTATAGTAAAATTGGCTCTTTGGTGGTAGAAAGACTTACTTGAAACTCTTAAATAAAGGCTTCCTTACTACTAGACTAACTTCTGTTCTCAGCAGTTTAAACTTTTTCAAATCGTAGATTGGAAGTCAGAAATAAGTGGTCGGAGGGGAACATTAGACGAAGGGGGATGAGGAGAAGAAACAGAGGAAGTGGAGGTGAAGAGGGGTTTAAGGCGAGAAGAAAAAAGAGAAAGAATAAGGGTCCGAATCAAAAGAGGATAGAACCTTTTTTATCGACAAGATTTTCACTTACAATTTAACTATTTATTTTCAGTTGTGTAATTTTTTTTATTTTTGTCTGATACCTACTGATATGGCAAGAAAGTAAGTTCGTAATATCAGAAAATATTTAAAGGCTTGGGAAATGCCACCTTCACCCTTATTACCAAATACTTAAACGTGCGGTGGGAGTTTTTGGCTTATCAACTTTAAATATTTGGACAATTACGTCATCAAGGGCGCTATATGGTATTCATGCTTTCTGGGATACATTCCAACTCATAAGTGAAGATGAATAGAAGAAGAATAATTCTCGCGGCTTAGTCAGGATTCGAACAACAGCCCTTCTCAAATTTCGATTCAGGAATAGTTTGCTTCGCTACATACGTCTGTATTCATTTCTTTGCCCATATATTGCCGTGAGGCCGTGCCAAAACGGAACCAACGCAACATTCGCGAGCAGTTGCCCTTTTCCACCAATCTCAAACCGTCAATATTATCTGTTAACGTTGCGGCGGCTCTATGCAGAAGGCACCGACGCATGGCGACTCGATTCTACTGTTGCCAAAAGTTTCACATTCTAAGCGCGGATGGTTATCGCCATTAAACCGAATCGCGCCTATTATTCGTATGAAGCGGTTAGACAATTTTACACATTTGGACTATAACCCAAATATACCTTAAAAAACTGAGAAGCGGAGCATCGGCTCCTAATCAATAACCACGTTCCAGTCCTGATGTTCTTCGCAGAGGACGTTCACTTAATTAGTGTAGTTGGCCTTTGTTTAAATAACTTCATTTAACGTTTGTTTGAAATGCCGTAAACGTTTCCGCCAGTATCATTGTAAATCGTACGCTATCGTGACATTTCCAAGTTTATTTTTATACTGTGTGCATGCGCAAATATTTGCTACCTAAAGAAGGTTGGCGCACCATGGTTGTGATGTTTACACGGATTGTTTGACTGATATTTACGTGTATTTCCGAAACTAAAAGTGTGGGAGGGGGGGGGGGGGCATTTTATACCCCAATGCAATACCTCTCTTTCTAAGGTGCAGGTGGTAAAAAGGAGTGGGTCTGAATGAATAAACACCAAGCAATATACCGGGTGGTTATTTTAGAACAAAAGTCTAAATAAGTTTTTTTTTTATTATACCTGAATCACAATCTCCGTTTTAAACACTCAAATGCGTGCGAAAAAGGGCCTTTAAAACACACGTGCTTTAAAGTTGCTAAGTTGCTAAGTAACGATACTTCAAGTATGACTTTTGAA